GGCGGGCCGGTCCATAGTCGGTCCCATAACCGGTCCCGGTCACGGTCGGTCCCGGTCCCACGAAACTACCAAAAACCTCAACCGGTCCCGGTTTTCGGTCCCATAACCAGTCCTTACCGGTCCCGAGCCGGTCCTTTGTCGGTCCCGGTCCCGATCCTCCAGCGGTCCCGGGCTGGGCCGGGCCCATTTGGCCATCTCTACCACCAACCCAGTGAAAGACACAAACTTTTCAATATTCTAGTTAAACTGAATCAATCTTACAACTTCAAAACTAGATTACAAGATGTCGAGAAAATGATAAATCGCTTGATTCTTGATAACATCAATTGAAATCGAATTCGAACTCAAATCTATCAAGATAACTCATTTTATCATCGGGTTTTCAGATGACTATGCGCCTGTCTAGTTTTAATTGATTTGTATATTGTTGAGCCGTTTTATTTCCTTAAACTTAAGATGTTACAACTTGTGTCGAGGAGAAAGACAATTACTTAACGACTTAACCTACGAATGTCATATTCAAATATGATGGGCAAATAGGCCCAGTTTAAGGAGATTGGATTGGATCAAAAGGCAGGTCCGAACCCACTAGACCATCTTTACATGATCGATTATAAGATCGGTTAAATTTAAACTAATCATAAGAACCATTGATTTTACGTTCTTATTTTTTTTTGAAAATTCAAACAATTCCATATGCTTATTAAGTTGATACTCACAAGATTTAAGTTTGTATGAGTTTTAAATTGTTAGGGTTTTCTTATATTTATAATCAAATAAATAAAATATTACCTCATCAGAGTATTTTATGTTTTAGCATATTTATAAATCATTTAATAAAAACTTTTATAAATCATTTTTTATACATGAAGTACAAGCAACTTAGAATGTGGTACCAAGGAATGAAACAACTACTTAGGTCGAAATTTAAAATTCAAGATTACAAGTAATTTTACGTAAGTACAACTTATTAAAACTCTATTTTTAAATTAATGTAACTAACTATATATAAACATAATCAAATACAGGATAAGTACTCATTTTAAATATAGAAAATCTAAAATATAATTAAGATAATCATTGAGTTTTAACATAATGTTTAATTATTATATTTATAAAAAATTATATTACTNTACTTTTGACCTTTGGAGCCAAGCTCAAACCAATCAGACACCACCCTTGTGGTTGAGCAACCCTAATTTAGTCTATTAATACAAGAAGATGTATCATAAATTCTTATTTCTTCAAGTGAAAAAATTGTATTAACTTTTAATACCCCACTAACTATAAAAGTTATGAATTTATTAATTGAAATTGATGTGGAGTAGTTCAGTAGACATAGGCCAAATTTAATATTAGGGTTTGTTAATAAGATTCCAAATCTTACCAAATACATATTTGTTTCTATAGAGTAAAAAATAATTTAACACATAAGGTAACGTCTCATTTTTTTATAAGGTTTAATTTCTTTACTTTTTGGGAAGCTGACCAATGTTCTAAAAGGCTTGTCGTTCAATCGTCGTGACTTACGACTCGTCTTCGACGCCATGTTAAGTAGGGATGGAGCTAGGAATATATGTCACGGGGAGTCTGGCTGTTCCAGATCGTACTTTGTTATACAAATTTACATCGATAAATACTGTTGTTATTTTAATTAATCATTCAAAACATTTTCGAACGTAGAAGTGTTTTAAGGCACCCGTGTAATCTTTTTATGAGAAAATTTGTGAGCATCGTGTTTATCGAATATTGGATGAGAATTGGTATACAAATGGTGTTTGCATCAATGGCGGTGTTCTATTCGTTTCATCGATATAAATCTACTTGTTTGAGCTTCCCTTGCCAACGCCCAGAGTCTAATGCTTTCAATTATGTGATTTGATCTCAATTTCCTTCGTCAGTTGTAATTTTATGTTTTGTTTTTATTATACCTTGATTTATTTGTTTTGCAAAACAATTTTACGGGGGTTTTCATAATTTTTTTTTGATTAACCTGAATATCTAACATGCTATGCGAGCCGACTAATCCCAGAGTGACCACATGCTTTGTAGATAGCCCGGAGTGACTGCATTTGAACCTTCATGGCCACAAGAATTTTTTTTTTCCTCCTTGGATTTGAACCTAGTACCTACTATTACTTTTGACATTTGGAGCCAAGTTTAAACCAATCAGACACCACATTTGATGAATATAATTATCTACAAGTAACTTATTTCATGAAGTAGGATAAGTAAATCGGCTAATCGACATCGGTAATTTACGCATAAAATCTAGCATTTGGATATATTAAAACTAGGAATTTATTTACTAACATTAAGGCATCGTTTGGTAAACATAATCTAATTTATTTTAAAGGTACATGATTCGATGAACATAAACTATCTTATTGAAATGTTAGTTGGAGTAGCTTATTAGAAGTTTTTTGTCATTTTTTATGTATAACCCTTATTAATATTAACTATTATTTGTTACTGTTAATTATAAATAAGTATTGATAAATATTAATTATTACTAAATAAAAATAAATTATTTCGTTATTAGACCTAAATTAAATTATAATAATAAATTGAATTAAAAAATTACACAGAAAAACAAGAACTTTTAAATAGTTAATTTGATAATAGTATCGATATGTTTTTTTCAAAATTTTATATTATCGTCAAATTTATATTTTATTCAAAAATAAAAACATTATCGTTTCTCAAAACCACATAAACCATATCATACATCGACATTGGACAAAATAAAACAAAACATTAAAATCGAGATGTATTTCACTGTATTAAACGAATATCCTTCTGGTTTATCAATAATAATGGTATGGAAAAAAAAAAATTAATATGTAACAAAAAACCAGAAGAAATAATTGATATAAAAACATAATGTTGGGTCCAACAGACACGGTTTCTTCTTCTTAGACCGGTCCAAACAAGAACCGATTACATAGCATAGCACCAAGGATTCGGGCTTTGCGTGGTATAACCAGGACCGGTTCAAGAACCAACCGGCTTGTCCGTCTCTAGCTACAATGTCTAATATAAAGACAGTTAATTCGTTAGTATAAATTGTCAAATGCATTATGCATACAAAAACTAACGGAAAAAGATATACATTTACCATTGCCCCATTTCACAAACTTGATTCCAACAAAAACAAACACTAGCTTTCTTTTCCCTTTTCTACACATGCATTTGATCAACAAATATATCCACAACACAACCACACAAAAACGATACATATATATATGACACTGAGTTCATGTCATCTCGGACCTGAAAGCTCCATTGCTTCGCCTACAAGGGAAGATTCTTCGATGTAATCCGAATATCTCTGCGGGATACCTTCCAAACCCCGAAATCGTGGGGTTTCAACGCTTTGCGATGCTTCCCATCTTTCGACCAGTCCTTCTCCTTCCAACATTCTCAATACTTCCGACATCTTTGGCCGGTAACTCGGGTTGAATTGAGTACACAAAAGTGCAACTTGAACCATTTCTTGCAACTCCACTCGATCAAAATCGTGTTTCAGAGCTTTATCCACCATTAGGTTTAGTTTCCCTTCTTGATGGAGCTTCTTTACCTGCAAAATGAACCCACATTAGTTATCCCAGACGTCAATAAAGACTGAGAATATGTAGAACCTCCAGATTACTGTCTAAAAAACCCTTGAAGACAGAAGACCGGGTTCCAATATATAGAGGAAAATCTGGTCCGAGTCTAGCCAATGTGAGACTCTAACATGCCCCCTTCAACACCCCTTCAACACAGGCCAGATAGGAACAGATAGTGTCGAGAGGGCCTAGGGTGTCGAGTCCCTAGAGTGTTTAGACTTTGGCTCTGATACCATGTGAGAATATGTAAAACCTCTAGCCGATATGAGACTCCAACATGCCCCACGAAGGCTAGATGGGCACAAATTAACCTAGAGTGTCATCAGGGGGCTAGACAGAGTAAAGAATGCCCCAGAGTGCCAAGTCCCTAGAGTTATAGATCTTGGTTCCAATAGTAGACTGGTTGTTTTTCTGTGAAGATTATTATACCATTAAGTGGTTATAACTTATGGTTTTAGGTTCAAATTCCCATTATGTGAGAAGGAGAGAGTACCCAATCTAGCATTACGCCTTTCTGGTTGGCAGCCCTTCCAAAGTCCAGAGCTTTCTGTCCAGTAATTAGTTCAAGAAGCAGGATCCCGAAACCGAAGACATCCGTCTTTTCCGATGATTGGCCGGTTGACAGATACTCGGGGGCAATGTGACCCACGGTGCCACGGACAGCAGTCGTGACATGAGAATCACGGTGGTCTAACAACTTTGCCAGCCCAAAATCACCAACCACAGCCTCAAAATCTTCGTCCAAAAGAATGTTGGCTGCTTTAACGTCACGATGAATGATTTTCGGGTCACACTGCTCGTGTAAATAGAGCAAACCCCTCGCCGTTCCTAGAGCTATACTCTTTCTCCGCAACCAGTCCAAGACCGGCTTCCCCTGGATCTGCTCTGCTATCAACATATTCAAATACGCAAATTAATTTCTTTATCAAAGCGGCAAATAACAAGATTTTGAAGTTAATACATATACATTGGCCAAATGAGAACCATTAAAATATATAATACATATACATTGATGAATTTACTAACCGACCGATACATATTTTGACAGTGTATATGCATCAACATGTGTGTGTGTAAATGCTGGTTCTCATGGTTCTGAAATCGACCCGGGAAAAATGGAAAAAAGAAAAAGAAAAACAAAGGTAGCAAACCTTTTAATCTAGATGCCACACTTCCATTCATCATAAACGGATAGACAAGAAGGCGTTCGTTTTCAGTCGAGCAGAACCCCCAAAGGCGTAGAAGATTACGATGAACGGCCAAGCTTATTGTTTCGACTTCGGTTTGAAATTGAATTTCACCCCCGAAGGTATTACTGTCCTTCAATCTTTTAACAGCCACCGTGGTACCATCGTTCAATGCCCCTTTGTAAACAATTCCGTATCCACCCTTCCCTAAAATATTCTTCGCGTTGAAATGGTCGGTGGCAGCCCGAAGTTCCTTAAATGTATACCTCTTCAAATGGCCCAAACATACCTCGGGTTCATATTGATCTGCTACATATAACAAAAGTCAATAATATTCCGCAGCTCCTATGGGTGTATTTGAGGTGAGCAAAGCCCAAGCTTAGCCGACTCGGCATCCCAGCTTGCCGGCTTATGCCCAGTTAGCATGTGCAGAGTACGCTTATTTACCGATGGAAATCAAAAAATAAGATGAAAGTAGATGACATCATGATGACTAACCATTGACATCAAAGAATATCTGTTGATTTTTCCTGTATCGCCACCATATGAGCATCGCGACCACTAGGATTACTAAGAAAGCAGCACCGAAACTTGTCCCAAGAGCCACAGCCAAATGGTGAGTTTTGTCAGTCGACGATGGTTGGTCTGGAAATAAAACTGTTAAAATAGACAATCACACATATACAACAATAATAGCAGGAAATGAGAAAATCAGGCTATTTAGCTGAATGACCTTAAAAACTGAATTCAAGATTCTAACCCTCCAGAGATATTTCAAAGTTTTTACAGGGGCGGGCTGATATGAACTAGGGGCAGGTCAGATGAAGGTCTTTTAGAAGGTCATGCTCCTAACTCTAAAAACTCATTAAAGGCCATTTATTCAAATGACTAGGTAATAAGGTCATTTATCGACATCAAGATATTATAGAAAAAACGTCATCGTAATTGCCAATGTGTGGTATATAACATAGATACGAATGAAGGGAATTATGTGATGCATTCACCTGTGAAACCATCTGGAGCGAAAGAGAGAGGCTCGGGATAAATATTTGAACAATTATTTGCAGAATTCTGGTCACAAAGTAAAGGGTTGCCTATGATTCTGAAGTCAAAACCAAAGAAAACGTTAGATAAAAACAAGATGATGGCAATAATATTACGGTATAACAGTGAAGAAAAATGCACCTAAATGTTCTTGCTGATAGTTTTGGCAATGGACCACTGAGATTGTTATACGACACATCCCTAAATAAGCAAGTAAAACATACGATAATTTAACATTAATCTCCATAAATCCATATCTAAACTTGAGATGGAGCCATGGAAATAAAGCAGTGACATACACAAGAGTGAGGCCTCCAACTTCAGATAACGATTCAGGAACTGTGCCGGTAAGACTGTTGTTGTTCAGACGCCTGTCTTGCTCAAAAAAATCAACTCAAAATGAGTAAATTGTTTCATAATACATTCAATCGTACTGTATTTGCAATATGTATATGTAAATGAAGATTCAAACTTACAAAAAGTTAAGGTTCTTGAGATCCCCTAAAGAACTAGGAAGCTGACCGCTGAATATGTTTCCTGAAAGATCAAGAGTTTGAAGCTTCTGCAGCTTCCCAATTGCAGCGGTGATCGGCCCAAAGATTGCATTATTCTGTAGCGTGCTACAAAATTGAATCGAATCATCAATTCTTAGAACTGTGGTGTCACATTTGACGAAGAACAAGATCAATCAAGAACTTACACAGATTGCAAGTTACTAAGATTTCCAATCGCAGATGATAAAGTCCCGGACAAGTTTTGACTCGGCAGCCCTCTGATTATAGAAACAAAACCCATAAAGATTCGAGCATTTAAAGACTAATTGTGGACAGTTTTTGGCAAAATGTTTTCAAGAATCAAATACAAGATTCAAGAAAAAGGATTCAAAGAAACTTACAGAGCAGAAACAGAGCGATCAAGGGTGCAAGTAACCATCCTCCAACTACAAGGATCTACAGAAGATAAATCCCAATTGTCCATAACATTTCTTGGGTCCTTCAAATCATCTTTTATAGCCATTAAAGCTACAACTGCATCAATTAATGAAGATTTAAAAGAAATTAAAGGGTTTTGTTGTTTATGGTTCATTTTCCCCAAATACATGTTAGTTTTTTTAATCTCCTTTCTTGACTTGCTTAACAAATTCATAGGCAAATAGCTACATGTAAAAATCAAGATTAGAGACCAGTGATGGTATTTATCCAATTAAAACAAAATTAAAAAGGAATTATAAGCAAGAACAGACATCATTAATGACCAACCAGACTGAAGTTTGCCTAAATTGAACAAGAAAAGTGTGGAGTAAGAATGAACAAGAATCAACAACTGCGAAAATAGATTATAGATGGAATGCCCAAATTTGGCAAAACAAAATAGAATGAAAACTAACCTTCATAATTGACACCAGAAGGAGAAAGAGTTGCATAGGAAACATTCAGCCATGTTAAAAGACACAAAACCCCTAATCCCAACGTCTCAAACACCCATAATCTCTTCTCCATGCTTCAAGAATCTTTAAATTTTGTACAGAAGCATCAACAAACACGAACATAAGCCATTTGGCAATGATTTTATTTCACCGTATTTATATATCGTCTTCTCCAAATCCCAAAAGAAAACACCCAACATAAGAAGAAAAAAGTATGTTCCAGAGATTATAGAACAGAATCAGAACCCTATCAAGCCAAACCCCACCATTTGCTTTCAAACCTCAGCTTTAATCTTGTTCGAAAAGGAACAAATTCACAGAAATGCTCTTCACCCACGTCATAAAATTCTCCAACTCGAAAAACCCAGATGACAAATTCGCTGTCACTGTATCAAAGATTCAAACTTTTTTCTCAAACGAAAGAGAAAGAGATCTGGTCGTATGCTCTTCTTGATTCTTTAACAGTTAGCCTTTCAAAATGCAACAAACATCTAGAAATGGAGCTGAAGAGAGCAGGCAAGCAAGAACACATCACAATTCAGATTGGGGATTCAGAATACCAAGGGAATTTAAATAAATTAATTGTTTTTCTAATAATTTCATGAAAAGAATCAAATAATTGTTTGGATTTTTTTGGGGGAAAACAAAGACATTTGCTTTTTATTCAGTGATTGGACTGATGGGTGAGTGTGTGAGAGAGAGATAGAGAGAGAGAGAGCGCAATGAAATGTCCAAAAAAGCAAGGTTTAAAAAGAAAAGCTTTTTTGCAGGTAAAATGTTGGCAGATCACGTGCCTGGCTTGTCTTGGTCTTTGTTGGTGTTTGCCTTTCTCTACAAAAGTTCTCTTTTTACCCTAAAAAGAGTTTTCGAATTATGATATAAACCTTATGCTTTTAGGCTCCCCCATTTTAAATTGTGTTTTGCCTTCAAATATTTTGAATCCATAAATAACATTTTAGATAATTTTTGCTATATACATTAAAAAACTACTGAACTACAAGAATGATGTTTGATTGATTTGAGTTTGGTTTTAAAGATCAAAAATACCAGGAGATCTCAGATTTAAATCAAAGAAGAAATAAAAGTCTCATTGTGATCACGGAGGTTCAAATGCAGTGACTCTGAACTATCTACAAAGCAAGTGGTCGTCCTGTGATTAGTTGGCTCGCATAACGGGTTGAATATTCAGGTTAATAAAAAAATTGTTATGCTTAAAGAAAATTAAATTATTATATATTAAAAAATATTCAAAAAAATTGTTTTACTTTATATAACTTTTGAATCATTTTATTTTCTGAGACATGTAATTGTTACTATAAAAAATTAAAGATAATAAAAGAGTAAAACCTTTATAATCAGTATCTTTAACAGATTCTTCAAAAATAATAAAATAAATATTTTGGGTAAATTCTTGTTCTAATAGCTTCATCACAACTTTATCTCAAAATGGAAAAAGCAGCTGAGAAAATGTCAAATTCTTTGAATTTAAATAATTCTTCAAAAATGATTATCATGAAATATAAATAACTTTTGAACCGGGGATTGACTGAGATTTGCTAGAGATTTGATCGGAGACGGGATGATACTCCCCAGGGGCGGATTCACCATGTAAAAGGTGGGGGGAAGGGCCCCCATTAAAAAATAAAAAAATGAATTTTTTAAGGTTAAAAATTGTCTTTTTTACTTTCTACCATGGTTCTCTTCCGTAATTTCTTGTTAAGGCCCCCACCAACTAAAGAAATTATCTTGAAATCAACCAAAAAACTGAAAAGTTCCTCGAAATCGATAAGAAAACCTTAAAAATCCCTCAAAATAATCCAAAAAAACTTCAAAAATCTCTTGGAATGGTGGAATTAGGCTTAAAACACATCGGACGACTTGGTGGACGTTTAAGCTACCTTAAAGGTGCCCCCACTAGACCAAAATCCTGGATCCGCCACTAATAATCCCCGTACCCGCTGGAGACCGGGACCGAGGACGAGGATTATAAAACTCATCCCATCCACCCCGTTGCCATGCCTAGTTATAATCTATAAAATAAAGGATTTTGGTGAGGTTGAATGTTATTTTCTTTTTAAAAAAAAAAAACAATTTTAGATATTTTTAATAAAAAAATCTCTTGCAATGCTCTAACATATTTAATAAATATTTATGGGTTTTAAAAATAAATAAAAAGTAAAATGAAAAAGGTGGTGTAAAATGGGGCATATGTGGAAGAAAACGAGGTGTTAAATGACAAAACATTCTGTTGTCAATTTGTCGATGCATTAAAGTATTTTTTACATATATTAACATTATCTCTAGGGTTTGCTTACGACTCCCAAACACCAAAGGTATTTTTGTCCCTTGAATATTCTCCACCTTTTTATTTTCTTTTTTTTATTAATTAATTATAATCTAATATTTATTTATTATTTAATGCTTTTTATAAAAGTAGATCACATTTTCAATAAAGTTGCCAATGATGTATTAGTAAACGACATTTAAAAGTCGTAATTCGCATTTAACTTTTCCACTTTTAAAAGATATCTAAAAGACTGTTACTGAACGCTTAATTCGGTAATTGATAATTGGGTCATTTACTTTATCGGATGATAGTGTTTTGATAGACTGCAATTTTACATATAAAACTCAGTTAGAGTGTTGAATCTTACCAATAAGCACTTATGAGATAAACATTTAAATAAAACGGGCCTTAAGAGGCTCTTTATTTGTGTGTGGACTTTGTATATGCAAGCAAAGCAAGATAGAGTGTGAAAATTATTAAGAAAATACTTAACTTGAAATAAAAAAATCATTATAAAGATGCATGAAACAGGTTAATTGTTATTTTTAATATATAACCAGGAGGAAAAAACGCAACTGATTTGGTCATATTATATGGATAGAAGTATTTTCAAAGTCCAAAGTTATTTTTGGTGATTTTCATACTTGAGTGTGAAAATTAAAAAACCATGCAAAGTTTGGTTGTTTTTCCATGTAAAAGATAATAAGTGTTTAGGGCTATGTCTGATAAGATAAATAAAAAGTTAATTGTTGACTGAAAAACTAGTTATTAGCTGATAAACAGACTGATAAATGGATATGTAAGTCTAATATACTTTGGGTTGTTTGAGATCATATGTGGTCAAGATCGGTAAAGTAGTGTATTGACTGAAGTTGTCAATAGAATTATAAGGAATTCACGACACATTTCAAATGTCAAACTTGAGGAAGCTTTTATAGACGTAACCATTGTAGTATCATTTAAAGATATGCCAATAAATGAGCGGTTAAACTATATAAACGAAAGCAATTTAAATTATAGACAAACATATGAAAAGATTGAGAAATAAGAATGTGCATCTAGTACTGGTTCATTCAAGGTTCCAAAAATGTACTGCTTGGGAGTCTGCAATAGAAATAAGACGAAATGCCTTTAGCTGTGTCAATGCAGTGTGAATTCACAAGACATAATTCTTATAAAGAGAGGGTTATGACCCCCAAAATATTTGTATCTCAAAGTAGAGGGACCAAATGTATCATTTAGTGAAAGAACTCCAACGGCTAGTTGGTGAGTTATGTGACCAAAATGGCATGTTGGTACATTCTAAAAGTGTTAGAATGTGATCATAATCATCATTGGGGCATGTGGTTGAGATCACGGCTAGTGCTTGATTGTTCATGGGACATTACTGAATTAAATACCATTTCATTCTGAAGTCATTTGCCAAAAGTTGGAGAAGAAAATGAGATCAAAAGTTGGACTTTTAGCATCAAGGAAGCATAGAAGTTGCAATGTTGTTTCAAGTGTTCGTCGGGAGAATGAAGGTATCACTCACACATACTCAATTAAAGCTACACAAATTAGATTTGAGTTTCATGTTACTTTGAAGTTAAATACATATTCATATACATTATCTGGTATTTAGATATATTGTTATGATGTTATGCATGAAAAAACTCTGGTACCTATGAGGGCTTATGTACCCGAACATCAATGCTATGAAGTGTGACACCATAAAGATACACATGTATGGTACGTTTGATAAAGGACATCTATGTACTCGGGTCAATCTGTTAATATCTGTACATATTGTGGTCATTATGTTCAGTTGTGACAGATTAACCTCCCACATTATATCGGTTCAGTAATTGAGATCTCATTTATGTTCGGTTGTTCATTTATGATTTGGATCTTTAATTGGACGAGTCTTGTGTTTGAATATTTATTTCAAAATATGATAATATATCTTAATTTCACGAGAACAAGTGGCTAGTCATGCAAGTGTTATCGAAATAATTGTCAAAACATCAACTTGATAGTCTATAAGGAAAAAGACAATCCGAGAAATTAAAGACCTTTACATTGTATTTTTCAAACATCTGTCCGTTCAAAAAGTGTAGTGATTTAGACAACAAGATCTGATTTTTCTTAAATGGTGAACGACTGAATTGATACCTAGCGGATGTCTGGAATAGTATGAATAGGATGTTTTGAAAAACTTTTTATAAAACTGTTTAGACATTTTCTATCTCTCCGAAGATCATATGTTGACTTTTCCAGACTTAGTCAGATGACATTCTTTTTAAAAACTAGACTTTCCCCATTTTATGAAAGTTAATCCAACTTTCCAGTTATTCATCTCAATATTTCAAACGGATTTGATTATACGTTAAGAATTCTTTGTGACATGCTTCTTGAAAAATAATTATTTGAGGTCTCGGAATGGTATGCTTCCTAAGAAAACGTTGGGTTTTTTTTTTCTTCATTTTTGTGGCATATTTCCAATACAACAACGTCTTACAATGTATTATGATCGGTTTTTTTGATTCACCTAAATATAAATATACAATTATGTTAACATTTGTTGTATAACTCATTGAAAATACTAGTCCATAAACATGTTACGTTCAATTTGTCAATAAAAAAAATAATCAAATGGTGATGTGTACACTTTAATTTAAAAAACGGTGTTTTCTTACACATGCACCACCAAAACGAAAACCATGAACTCAAATAACGAATGCTAATTTGTATTATGCATATGAAGTTAAGGCTCAAAGTAGTAAAGCTAAGGAGAATATGCAATGTACTCAGTTAGGGAATGAAGATGTCGCGAGACTTTTCTGGTGTGATTGGTTATAGTTTGTTAATATATTTGGTTAGTATCCTTTATTATTTGGTAGCCATCACGGCTCTAGAAAATCAGATGCAACTAACGTAAAGAGACATGGTATGAAAACTGATCAAATGCAAATTGGTCCCTATGGCCATAATTGAGTTTACAATGAATATATTTGCTACGGTTTGACGACGAAGATGGTGATGTAGAACAGAATATCGTTCCAACAATTGTATGATGAGCAGAAAGTGGCATGGATGTAAAGCATCGTTCAACTGAATACAAATCAATCAACCATATTACCTTATAGCGTGATGCATTACATATCCAGAACATTTTCTAATGGAAATGCAGAACACTTAAAAAAAATTTAATCATTATGTGGCGTCTGAACTTTGAAGTGTCTCAACAGAATACTTCTCATTTAAC